GCGGAGGCCCCGGCCGCGCGTCTCGACCCGCGAGCCGGAGCTGCAGTGACGGGGTCCCGGGCGGCCTCGGGCGTGGGCGCAGCGCCTTGAGGGTGCGGGGCCGGCACGAAGCCGGGGCCGCGGGGGGCGGGGCGGCTCCGCGCCGGCGGCCGGGTCCCCGCGCTGCAGGAGAGCCGCGGGCGGCGGGGACCCTCGGTCCGCTCGGTGAAAAGGGGTCCAGCTTGTGTCGAGTGAACAGGCGACCCCGCGGCCCCATCGCGGAGCTGGGTCGGAGGCGCGGGGTGATCTGGTGCCGACGCTTGTTTACACCTGAATTGTGCTCCCTGAGCCTGGATTTCCTTTGCGTTTGGAGGAAACGTTGTGACAAGCTGTCAAAGTGTCAGTCTCGGGACGTTGCAAACGTCGTTCCATCCGAACGGCGAGCGCCCGCCGGCCGGACCCCGGCGGGACGGCGCGGAGACGCGCGGCCCACGGCATCGGTCGTCCCGCCGCGGGGGCAGCCGTGGGGCCGAGCTCGTCCCGCGTGGAAAGCTGGGTCACGCACCTCTGAGTTGCCGGGATGGACCTCGGGGCCCGAGCAGGTCAGGTGACCCTCTGGGGTTGCGAAGCCTCACCTGGCATGACGTCAAGCACACGCCCCTTTTCCCTCCTTTTCACTCCGTTTAGAGCTTTGGACCAGTTATCTTAACCGAGCACAACGCGCTGTGACTGCACAGGACGCGAGTCACAGCTGACGGGCCCGGCGGCCCGAGCGCCATCCGGAGCCGGGCTGCCCGGTCGCACGGCGGCGCTGGAACTGGCAGCCCGTTCCTGTGGGAGGTGCCAGGTCCCTGCTGCAGGACAGCTTAGGCCGCAGCCTAACAGCCAGGCCTGAGACGGGGCCTGTGGGCGGGCGTTCCCCGAGAAAGCAAGGGCTGCAGCGCGCTGGCACGGGCCCCGAGATAAGGGCTGGAGGGCTGGGCTCGGAGGACTCGGAGTGAAAGAACAGGACGAGCCGTGCGAGTGGGGGTGCAGTTGTCCCCACGGAGGGAACGGTGACTTCCAGCTGTGAATTACCCCTTAGGCTTCAGGCCACAAGCAGAAGCCCTCAAGGCTGGGTCTGGAGGCGGGGCAGGCATGGCGGTGACCCGTGACCCCTGGGCCATCAGAGCACAGGGATGTGGTCAGGGGAGCAGCCCGATGCGAGGAAGAGGGAAGACGGGCGGCCACAGCCCCGCCTGCGCTGCCTTTCCAGATGCCCAGCTGTGCTGCTGTGGGTGCGGGCCTGGGCCGAGGGGGTTCGGGCAGCAGCGCTGTGAAGTTTGGGGGGCTCAGTGCCTATGCAGGGCTCCAGGGAGGGCTGCCGGCCGCCTGCACTGGGTGCCTGAGGCTCTCCACACCCAAGGCCTGGCCTCGTTCTCTCGGGGCCCGCGTGGTTCACCTGGTCGATGCCCCCCACACGGTGCTAACCGACTGGAGAGATCTCAGTGACAGGTGAGAGCAGATCAGCACCCGCTCACCCGGTCTCGCACTGTGCGTGCAGCATGTCGGTCGTGGGAGTGAGAGGTTTTGAGCAAGGATCCGAGTGGGGGCGTGTGATGGGATTTGAAGGGGTAACTGGAATTGGGTTCTCTAGTGGGTTCTTGCTGTTTGTCTCATTGGCACAGGCTCTAAGCCTGCGAGGGGGCCTGCCCTGTCTCACCCTGGCTCACCTGTGGGCGTTTCAGTGTCTGACCGTGACTTGTCTGCAGTTCTTTCATATGACACAACCTACAAAAGGGCTGCCTACACGGCTGGAGGACCCAGAAGCCAGCCTCCCGGGTTTTTCAGGGCCGTGAACTTGGAAGCCCAGTGTGTTTCCTTGGGTTTGAGTCCCGGGAGCCCCTGGGGTCCTCGCACCATCTCCTGCCTGCTCCCCCACCCTGTCTCAGTCCTCTCACCATTAGGCAGCGAGCCCGTGTTTCAGACACATGAGCCCACTGACGGAGTCCGTGTCCTAGCAACGCCGAGTCCTCAGGAGCCTGGGCGTTGGGGAGGGGCCCTTGACTGGCCTCTGACCCCCAGGCCATCCGCCTAGGCCATCGCCTCCCATACTCTGCTTCACCCCTCAGGACCCCTTCTCCTTGTACTGCTGCTTGATGGGGAGCAGGGACGTCAGAGGAAGAGAGATAGAAAGCAGGGATTCATGGTCTGCTTTCAGGGTTTCTCCCGGACAATCAGGGTTTTTTGGCTTGTTTTGTGTCTAGCTGACACTAAACCACCTGAAGCCCTTAGGAAGAACCTTATACTTGGAGGTGCTTCGTAGTGGTAACCAACATCCCACTGCTCTGGACTTACATATAGTTTGTATTTCCGTAGTCAGACGTGAGGGCTCAGTGTGCTTAAGAAACTTGTTTTCTTAGCTCCTAAACCGCAGAACCAACATCAGAACCCACTGAGCAGAACTGTTCTTGATTCTTTTGTCCTAGTGCCCTGGAGTCCATCCCATCCCGACCCAGACCTTCCTGAAATGGCGCCTGGACTAATCACGTCCACCCACTTCCACTGAGGCAAACTCGGGTCATCATTTTAGCCAGAGTCACAGGGATGCCCCCATTTGAGGGCAGAGGTTCCACAGAAGTTAGATGGCTTGGCCAAGGCCATGTTGATGCAATTGGGGCAAAACGGGAACTGTAACCCGATCTCATGACCAACTCGTGGAAAAGTACAAAAAGAAATTTAAGGAGGGGCTCATGTTTTAGCAGAGTTCACAGTTTTGTGCAGAACAACCCTTTTTTTTTGCTGGGGGGAGGGAATTGGGGGATGGGAACAGCACTGGGGAATTGGGGGAAGGGGAACAGACAAGTTGCTGTTGTTTTGTTCCTCAGTCTAGTTGTGGAGGACGTTGCTTCACTGGCCC